TGATATATGCATTGTGCAAATTTAAAACTAGTCTAAATTGCATTTTGATTTCTTGCTACAGTGTGTAATAGACATTCAGAATACAAGTTTGGGCACTTCTAATTCTAGTCTGTGTTTAGAATACTTTCTCTAAATTCACCAGACTTTTACCAGAAAATGTGACTATTTCACCAGTATAATTAAAAGCGAATTAGGTATCCGCATATCTTAATTGAAGGCTTTTCTCTCTGCAGAAACAATGATTGTGGTTTAATTTGTCTCCACTGGGTTCAAAACCCCACAGGTCTGTGTAAAGTTTAACTGCACTGTTCACATGCTTTTTCTAAAAAAAAAGTACTCAGCTAAGAGGACTTACTCTAAATTCAAATATTTATTTATGAACTATTTTAAAAAATATTGAGCATGAGTAAATACTGTTTGACACAGTTATCGAATTCAGAAAAAGCAGAGTGATAACCAACATGGCACATGGATACACTTTGTTGAGGTTAGTGCTGAGCTAAGCTTCCTGGTATTGTTAATTTTAGTGATTTTTTTTTTAATTTGGAAATTTTGAGTCCCTGTCTTCTGGGGCCTAATTCATCTACCCTGCCTTGGCACTCCTTAAAGAAAAGTAACTTTCTGGAAGCAGTTAGGCAATACCTAAAGAGTAATTTTACTTTCACTGTGTACAGATACTCATTACAATTCTTTTGGAAATTGAAATACAGAAAGCAAGACAGATCTCATTGGCTGTCACTTGCCCGTTCATGGCACAGGGGAGCTCAAAAGGCTGATGTAGGTGTTAGTTCTTTTCTAATCTGAATGAGCTGCCTCTTGCCTAATTGCTGAATTATGCTGTCCTTTGAATTACTGTTACTTCTTCTTCTTCTTGCATGGCCCATCGCTTTGTATTTGATCATCTACAAAAATCACGTTGACAGCGCAGGAGCTACACAGACCACATCTTTTATTATAGTTTCTACTGTAATGTGAACTTAAAAACATTCACCCCTCTGTTTCATCTTTGGAAACCCTAGTTTGTATGCTGGCCCTCCCCACAAATATCCTGTAAGGGAAACTCCAGGGATTGGTCATATCTTAGGAAGCTAATCATTTTTAATAACTTCTATTAAGACTGGCTTCCCTCAGAGATTTCTTGATAGAACTGCACGTGTTCTTTGCATTTTTTTCCCCCATGTGAGATCCCTGGGAATGGAAAAGTTTTAAAGGAACTCAAAGGATGGAAAACTCATCAGTTTCAGAGCATAGATTCTGAGTTAACCTTTCCCATGACCTGGGGCGCAAGCTTTTGGGATGATCAGAAGCGTTGCTCTAATTCATCAGATTGCAAAGGCAGAGAACAGAAGGGGAAGCTTTTGAATAAAATCAGCAATGATTCCATGTTATTTGCTCCATAGATTTAACTGTATTTTATTTTTTAATCTTCCTGGGAATTTTCTTGCTGGCATTCCTATTTCTTGAGTTGCTGGGCTAGATTACGTGTTACACATTCATCCTTTGATTTTGCCCAGGGTTGTTTTAGTTTCATCTTTATTTATAGCCTGTTTCACGTCAGATCCCATAAAACTGGATCGCAATTCAGTTCTCAGATGTCCTCCCCATCTCATCTGTGGATTTTTTCCTTTTCTTGAAAAATCTTTCCTTGTCTGGTTCAGTTGCAGGAATTTAGTGACAAGGTTGTCCCCCCTCATTTTCATTTTGAACATTACTATTATTATTATTAACTTGCCACGCCACGTGGCTTGTGGGATCTTGGTTTCCCTGACCAGGGATTGAACCTGGGCCCTGGCAGTGAAAGCACTGAGTCTTAACCACTGGACCGCCAGGGAATTCCCTGAACATTATTTTCTTTCCTTACTTAAAAACAATTTTTAAGGGAAAAGAGAAGAGGGAGAAAAGAAGAGACCCGTGTCCCCTGAAAAATGCCCAGTTTCTGTGTTTTGTGATGTATTTTGAAAGCTATACACTTACAGGCCATGATTCCTTCTAAGTAATTTGTAGCTGTTTTTAAATGACTTTTAACAAAGCCATCATCAGAAGTTGTAAAATAATATTTTTGTCACCTGTAGAGGATGAAATTGTGCATAGATTTTAAAAGTAATATTTATTGTGGTTTCCATTGGGTGGAAAGCTTAATTTCAGAAGGTTATATTAATAAAAGAATGGGAAATCTTGTTGTTGTTGCTGTCTGTCTGGTATTCCATTAGAAAAAGGCATAACTGAGCATTTGGGTCTGTTACAAAGTCACATGTATTTATAGGGCACTGACATTTTATATTTAGTAGTGGGTCAAATTAAGTAATGTTTTCTCATAGACTTTAAAAATGGAGGAAAAAATGGAGAATCTTCCCTCTCCACCCTTCCTACACACACACACACACACACACACACACACACACACACACACACGAGTCTTCTTTTTCATTTTATGCATCCATGAGCTGATCTTCCAAGGGAAATGATATATATAAGGACTTCGACTCATGTTATTTCAAGGCAAGTGAAACAACAATAAATATTGAGCAAAGAAAGCTAATTTGTATTTAGAGCATTTTAATATAGAAAATGATTTTCGAAATCAATATAAGCCAATTGGCTTTTGCCAGATCGCTTTTCTTACAATGATTAAAAATAACTCAGATGCAGATTTCCTTTATACTGTCCCTCTATTTTCTTGATTTGCTCGGATAAGATCTTCAAATACCATTTATGACATGTTTTAAAAGTCTATATTGGACTTGATACTTACTTGTTTTGGCGGGGGAGTTCAATAGATTTGGGGGAAATAATCCTCAGAGATAGGTAAAATCAGCAGATAAACCCAGACATTTCCATATAGAGTCAATGTATTCTGTTTATAGAGTTGAGATACCCTTTTAATTAATTAATTTTTGTTTGTGCCCAAAGGAACTTTCTTGAGAGGAGCATTTGGGGTTTACATATTTCTAATTGCATGGCACAGTTCTAATGAAAATAGTAGTAAGGCTGTAATCTCCATTTTGCCTGACAGTCATGAATTGAATTTATATAGAATTATAGTGAATCTCTTTTTGTCAAACACTTGTATTACCTTTAAAGTTAAAATGCTATCCGGGTATATTTTTGACAGTGCTTCAGTATCCTTCTTATGGACATTTTTTGAGCCAATGTTGTAGGCTTAGGTCTGGTTAAAGAAGAGGCACTCTTAGCCTGCACTCCATTCCAATACAATTTTCTTCAGTTTTCTAGTGAAATTATAATTTAACAAAAAGGAATATTTTAGGGCTCTGAGCTAAACTCTGATTTCAAATGGCTGCTATTAACCATTTTTTTTTCCATTAAGGTTAATATCTTTTTTAACTAGTAGAGAAGAGATTTTTGAAGCTCTTTTTTTGCAGGCTTGCTATTTTAAGGGCATTTTAAAAGGGGCTGCATCCTGCTATGTGGCGTATGGAGGAGGATACTCAAGACTTTTAGAGGTCTCAGGTATACCTCTGCTGGATAAATATAAAATGTAATGCTAAGGTCAAAAGCAAAACCAAACCAAGACTTGTGTCTCTGTACCAACTTCCTTATTTTTTTTTTTGGCCGTGCAGTGCACGGCGTGTGGGATCTTAGTTCCCCGACCAGGGATCGAATCCGCACCCCCTGCATTGGAAGCCTGGAGTCTTAACCACTGGACCGCCAGGGAAGTCCCTCTGTACCAACTTCCATTCAGCCGTCCTAGGATGGCCAGATGCTGCCTCTCCCAGAACCTTCCCATCCACCAGGCAGAGGGCAGGGTAACTCCCTCTTCTCCCCATTGATCGTCTCTCCCTTGTCAGGACTACCTCACCTTTAGTTTGTTTCCCAAAACATAAAGCTGATTTGAGGATGAAGGTCAAAGTGGGTCAGCAGACCACATGCAATTCGCAGGATCCCGGTCACCTGGAGGACCACCAGAGCCCTTCACACACGTTTAGGTAGAGAGAGCACGAAGATGCAACTTCTGTGATGGCCACTCTTTACCTAGTTTAGTCGTTTCATGCATGGAGCTGATATTCAGGCCACATGGTAGAAAGATGCACCTTTTTAGACTTTATCACCAAAATGACCATATCTTTGGTCACTTACGAGAAACAGCCCTCTGCACCTACTTGACCCTGCTGCCCTTTAAAGCGGATTTCTCACTCTGCTCCCGTAACATCCACCTTTGGGTCTAAACCTGATTTTAAAAATATTTATGTCACTGTTTCGAAACGAGCTTGAGAAATGGATTCTTTTTCTCTCTAGTAGTTTTGTGAAGTTCCGCCAGAAAACACCACCAGGGATAGTACGTATATATCTGGGGACACATATCTAGATCAGTCATGCAAGTGTCACGGTGTCCCTTGATGTCAAAGAGGCTTTTGGGGAGGTCCTTACAGGGTCCTTGAGACCAGTCCATTCACATCCTGGAAGAATCTGCCCCCTGGTGCCTGTTCTCTTGTTTCCCAACATACTGGGTACCCCTCCTCCATCCCCATCTCCATCTCCCCCTCCATCCCCATCTCCTCCTCTGTCTTCATCTTCTTCTCCTCCACCCTCCCCCTCCTTCTTTCTTCTCCAAAGGTGGGGAGTGTACTCTCTCTATTCAAGGGTTTGTATCCACAAACGACATTTCCCAAAACGTCTGCCTTCAACCTCAGCTCCTGATATGCACCTGATGGGCTGTATCCCTGGCATGTTCTCTGTCTGAGCTTCATCACTTTTCTACTAACATAGTGACTATAGATTGGTAATATTGCGTCATGCCTGATTTAAGGGACCTCTTTGTACTTCTTCCCTTAGATAAGCTGTGTTTTTAATGGGCTAACCCCCATTAAAAGCAGAGGTGACTCTTTGCTCTGATACAGTAACAAGTCTGTGAGTGGCTGTGTAGATGATTCTTTGTGATGTTTTCCAAGAGCATATTTTTATGGCCTTCATTTTCTCTCTAAGCAGCAATGGGAATGGACTAGCAAACTTACTTTTTTTTCTTTCTCCCCTCTTTTCAAAAGCCACATGCCAAGGATAAGATCTATGTCCAGAGTCAAGGTAAGAAATTTTAAATATATGTATATTTGAAAAAGAATGAGTCTTTTATCTTGTAGAGATACCTACTAAAATGAAATAACATGATGTCTGGGATTTACTTGAAAATAGTAGAATGGGTACACTTTTATTAATTTTAACATTAAGATAAAAATAAGACTACTTTATAAAAGAATAACTTAAAATGTAGAAGAATGGATAAAGAAGATGTGGCACATATATACAGTGGAATATTACTCAGCCGTTAAAAAGAATGAAGTAATGCCATTTGCAGCAACATGGATGGACCTAGAGATTGTCGTACTGAGTGAAGTCAGACAGAGAAAGAGAAATATCGTATGATATGTGGAATCTAAAAAGAAATTATACAAATGAACTTATTTACAGAGCAGAAACAGACTCACAGACTTAGAGAATGGACTTATGGTTACCAGAGGGGAAGGGTGGGAGCAAGGGAGAGTTAGGGAGTTTGGGATTGACATGTACACACTGCTATATTTAAAATAGATAAACAACAAGGACCTACTGTATAGCACAGGGAGCTCTGCTCAATATTCTGTAACAACCTAAATGGGAAAAGAATTTGAAAAAGAGTAGATACATGTATATGTAAAACTGAATCAGTTTGCTGTACACCTGAAACTATCACTACATTGTTTTGTTTTTTAATAAATTTATTTATTTACTTATTTTTGGCTGCGTTGGGTCTTGGTTGCTACGTGCAGGCTTTCTCTAGTTGCTGCAGACGGGGGCTTCTCATTGCGGTGGCTTCTCTTGTTGCGGAGCACGGGCTCTAGGCACGTGGGCTCAGTAGTTGTGGCTCGTGGGCTCTAGAATGCAGGCTCAGTAGTTGTGGCGCACGGGCTTAGTTGCTCTGCGGCATGTGGGATCTTCCCGGACCAGGACTCGAACCCGTGTCCCCTGCCTTGGCAGGCGATTCTTAACCACTGCGCCACCAGGGAAGAACCACTGACCCGCAAAATAGAGATCAGGGAAACAGTAGCTCCAGAGAACATGTGGCTGATTCTGAGTTTAGGTTTGAACCCGTGCTGAGCCCAGGGTCACGTGAACAAGTCCACCTTATAAACATCACATTATCAAGGCTCTAGTGGTTTCAGGGATACTTTTAGCAGCAGAATCACTCATCAAATGAACTCTTTCTTGGAGCTCCCATTTAAAAAACGATGCACTGACTCAGTATGCGTAAAAGGGGTAAGTGTCAGGGCAGGCCTGGGCTTGGACCTTCCATTCCTCTGCCACAGCCCCTTGTTTATAGCCACGGAAGACGGTGCTGCAGGAAAAACATGGGCTTTGATGCAGCGCATGGGTTTGGATGCAGCCTCTAACACCTAACATTTTGTATCTCGATTAACCGCGATGAACCTCGGTTTCCAGCCGGATAAACTAGAGGACTCAACCTGCTTAACAGGGATTAAGGGTTTCCAGGACCGGGTGGAACACATCCACTCACAGTCTGTGCTGGGGCAGGCGTGGAGTGGACTTTACTGCAAACTTTACTAACTGTAGTCTGTATTAGTCAGTGTGAATGGCCAGCTTACAAGTGCCTTGGAGAGGCGGTTCGACGACTTAATTTACATTCCATAAAATTTCACATCTTTTCTGCTCTCGAGATAATCTGTTAAATGTTGCCTCTGGATTTTTGAAATCTTAAAATGTTCGTTTTTTCAGAGAACTTTAAACTGAAAGCTGTCTGAAAAAGTGACACAGATAGCAGGAAATTATGTATGATTTAGAAGGTTGAGATGAGGAATTTTAAATACAGACATAATTTCTATGTAATTTCTTTTAGAGTTTAGTTGGAAATGTTTGGGATACCTGTCACCTATATGCATTTTCTAGGAACTCAAGCTTTCTGTGACCTAGAGACAGTTTGGCCCAGGAATGGATGGTGGGGTTGAAAGTGATGGATCTTTTCTCCTTGGGAACTGTGGGCGAATTTTATTTTATTTTTTATTTTTGTTTTTGGCCTCACTGCATGGCACGCGGTATCTTACTTCCCCGACCTGGGATCGAACCCGGGCCCTCGGCAGTGAAAGCACAGAGCCCTAACCCCTGGACCGCCAGAGAAGTCTCCTGTGGGCTCATCTCCAAGCTCACAGGCTTGGAGAGATTCATGGGAATTCAGCAAAGCCCTCAGAACTTTAGTTCTTTATAAGAACCGAGTATGACAGTTACTTGTCAACACAAAATAACTGCTTATGTCTCAACAACATGAACTTTCTTTTGTTCTCTTTCCTTTGACCCAGGAATTGCAACAGTGCCGAACACCACATTTAACTGGGACACCTTCCTTCAGCGTTCAGGTAAGAGATGAAATCTTCTGGTAGGATTTTGACTCAAGTGCATCTTGCCACCTTGCGTCAGTTCCTTGCTAGGTTCACATGGTTTTGAAGAAGAGGCTGCCAGGGTCAAAGAAATGGACTCTTTGGGTAGAACAAAGGAGGGAGCAAGGCATGATTAGAACAAACTTGGTTTCTCCCCGTTTGCCGAGGTGTCGTCAGTGGTCCCATCCCAGTGAGGATGGGGGTGCAGCTGAGACGCAGGAGGACGAGTAGTGCCAGCCTCTGTGACGCTGCTCTTCGGACAAACCTCCCAAACACCTAGTATCTTGTGGCGTTTGTCCTTATTAAGGATGCCATCCTCCTGTGTTCATTCGGTGTTACTTTATTAGCTACACACATAAGAAGTGACTCTTGTGGGACTTCCCTGGCGGCCCAGTGGTTAAGGCTTGGCGCTATCACCGATGGGGCCGGCTTCGATCCCTGGTCGGGGAACTAAGATCTTGCAAGCCGCATGGCGTGGCCAAAAATTAAAAAAAAAAAAGTGACCATTGTAAGATGGAGGTCAGATTAAGAAACAAACTTTTAAACCACTTGAAATCTCAGCACCAAAAAGGAACTGCTATTAGTGTTTTGATATGTCTTTCTCAACAATTTTTCATATATATATTAATGCTTTTCATGCATTAATATATAATATTAAATTATAGCTGTATTAACCTATTATATATTTTTGTCTTTTAAAATCATCATGTAAATATATAAATATGTGATATTTGTATATTTATTGTAAATGCATAATATGTATGATACCTATATTATTTATGTTATATATAGATTATATATAAATTATATATAATTAGGTGTGACTTTATGTTTAAATAATACATATGTACAAATAATCTTATATATAATGATTTTTAAAAGACAAAAGTGGAGTCAAACTGTACTTACCGCTCTAACCTGCTTTATTTATTCATTGTTAGTAACAATATGAGCTAACTTATTCTTTCTTAAAAATTTCTAAACTAAAGTAAAATTTACGTGGCGTGAAGTACAGACTTCTAGGGTAAGATTAGATGAGCCCTGACAAATGTATAAATACCCTAATCCAGACAGATCACATTTCCACTGCTCAAGAAAGTTCCCTCTTGTGCTTTTCCATATTTAATTCCCATCCCTCTGTAAGGGACCCCATTCCAATTTCTATCACCATCGATTCGTTTTACCAGTTCTTGAACTTCATCTAAGTGGAATCATACAGTAAGTACTTTTTGTGTCTGGCATCTTTTTTGCTCAACATCATGTTTTTGAGATTCATGCACATTGTGTGCTCCTCCTTTTTTATTACCGGGTCCTATTCCATTGTATGGATGTGTCCCACATTGTTTCTCTATTCTCCTATTGATGGACTTTTGAATTGTTTTCCATTTTTACGTACTATAAATAAAACTGCTCTCTCTCCACATTCTTGTGCAAGGATTCTGGTGAATAGCTTGAGTGTAGGGTGGATCCATGCTTAACCTTAGAAAAGAACAGCCAAACAGTTTTCGAAAGTGTTGTACCATTTTACATTTCCACAGACATTGATGAGAGACCTAGTTATGGCACATCCTTGCCAACAATTGGTGTGGACAGTCTATTTAATTGTAGTTATCCTAGGGGATCATGAAATGGTATTTGATTGTGGTGTTGGGCATTTATGTATCGATATCTTCCTTGGTGAGGTGTCTAGCCAGACCTTTTGCCCAAATGTTTTAGTGTGTTGTCTTTTAATTCTTGGTCTGCAGGAGGGTTTTCTGCTTTTTTTTCCCCCTGGGTAGAAGCTTTTTGTCAGATACATATATTGTGAATGTTTTCTTCCATTCTCTGGTTTACCTTTCCGTGTTCTTAACTATGTCTTTTGAAGAGCAGAGGTTTTAAATTTTGTTGAAGTCTAGCTTATCAGTTTTTTCTTTAATAGTTAGTCCCTTTGAGTCCTGCCTAAGAAATCTTTTCCTACCCTAAGGTCGAAAAGATAGTTTCCTTGTTTTTTCCTCCAGAAGTTTAAGCTTTTCCATTAGGATTGTAATCCATCTGAAATTAAATTTTGTGTGTGATACTAGGAGGTAGGGATCGAAATTCATTTTTTGCTGTAAATTCCAGCATCATTGAAAATGTTTCTCAATGAATTGCTCTGGTTCCTTTGCTGAGAATCAGTTTACTGTGTGTGTTCCTTTGTGTCTGTATAAATCTACCTTTATGCCAGTATCATGCTGTCTTGTTGTTGTAGATTTATGGTACGTCTAGAAATCAGATAGGGTTAGCCTATGACTTTGTTTCAGAATTGTTTCAGCTCTTCTAGGTTTTTTTGCATATCCATATACAAAATTTAGAATCATCTTGTCAATTTCTATAAAATCTTGTTGTATTGAATCCACAGATCATTTTAGAGCGAATTGCTGTCTTAACAATAATTTGTCTTAAGATCTCTGAACATGATGTATCTTTCCATTTGCTTGGGTCTTACTTATCTTCATAATGATTTGTACAGGTATTTCATGTCTTTTAAAAATATTCTTAAGGATTTTATTATTTTTGATGTGCTATAAAGGTTTTCTTTTTTTTTTTGCGGTATGTGGGCCTCTCACTGTTGTGGCCTCTCCCGTTGCGGAGCACAGGCTCCGGACGCGCAGGCTCAGCGGCCATGGCTCACGGGCCCAGCCGCTCCGCGGCATGTGGGATCTTCCCGGACCGGGGCACGAACCCGTGTCCCCAGCATCGGCAGGCGGACTCCCAACCACTGTGCCACCGGGGAAGCCCTAGAGGTTTTCTTTTTAATTTCAGTTTTGAATTTTAGTTGTTGCTAGTATATAGAGATACACTTGATTTTGTAATACATTGGCATTATACCTTGAAATATAAATTTATTGGTTCTAATTACATCATGTTTTTAATTCCTTTATTGTATTTAAAATTCTATAAATGTATCCAAACAATCCTTTTGGTTGGGAATTTAGATTTTTTAAAAACTTTTTGATATGCAGTGATGAAAGTGCTAGGATTTTAATCTTCATATGTTTGCCCAATTGTTTTCTTAGGAGCAATTCCTAAAAATAGAATTGCTGGATTAGATTATGCATTTAACCAGAGCTTTCATAACATCTTACATGACGTTTAAGTGTGTCACCTTGGAAAGGTGACATCAGGGTGCATGTCCATCAGTGAAGCTATGAGGGTACCATTTTCTCTACATGTGGTGCCATTGTGTTTTCTGTGCATGGTATGATCCAAGCATAATTACGGTGTTTAAGCAAAATTTTATTATATTGTACAATATCTTGAAGTGTAAAAACTTTAGTTGTCCACAAATGAAGCCCATAAGTTTATGCTATTTGGGATTATAACTGCCTTGCAGGCTGATCAGCCCTGTAATTCTGGTAAAGGTACTAGAACAGCTAAAATTATCTCAGCAAATGCAATTTGAGGCCTGAGAAGTCATCTCTTTTAACCTGAAATACTTATCTCTAAAGACGACAATGCAGGGGTACGATTAGGGGGAGTTGAAGATGCAGGTCCTGCTGTAAATGTCAGAGAAGAGAGTGAAAATGCAAAATCAGTGCCCTGCCCTCAGCAGACAGGAGGACACCCCAGGCCTGTTTTTACTCCGAAAACTTCAGACAGAACCTCCAACATGTACTCCGTGTCAGCATTCCCTTCCCTTGAAAAGAAGAAATTTCCAAACATTTGATTATAAATAATTTTCCAAGTGTTTTACATCAATCTCAGCAAGAATGGCAGAACTCTTGTCAGCATTACAAATGAACCCACACCATCCAATTGCTTTATCATGTCAGGAAGTGTAAGCCGTTATTCAGAACCAGGAGGCCCATTTTAAATGGCCTGTCGTGGGCTTCCCTGGTGGCGCAGTGGTTGAGAGTCCGCCTGCTGATGTAGGGGACGCGGGTTCGTGCCCCGGTCCGGGAAGATACCACGTGCCGCGGAGCGGCTGGGCCCGTGAGCCATGGCCGCTGAGCCTGCGCGTCCGAAGCCTGTGCTCCGCTACGGGAGAGGCCACAACAGTGAGAGGCCCGCGTACCGCAAAAAAAAAAAAAAAAAGGCCTGTTATACGGTTATTCCATCTTCTGTATATCAGAGGTCACTGTTGCGGTGTAACTAAGGTTCATAATTTCCAAAAGGAGAGTGATTTGTCATCAGGGTCTGTACCCTGATGGTTGCTTGTTTCACCAGTCTTACTGTTGAGTGATTAACGGAATAGCCAGGAGATTTAAAACACTCCGCAGACAACACCCCCTCTTGGGAACGTTGGCTTCACTTCACTCTTAATGTGTGCGATCAGAAGCTGTAAATGCATTCAGAATATATGGGCTCAGGGAGGCTCCGGGGGGGACTGCGGGAGCTGACTGCTGGAGGATGGCTTAAGCGTTAAGGTGGAGAATTCAGCCGCGTCTCAGGGTTTTATGATCAGGCGTCTGTTCTCATTTGTACAGTCATTCATCTTTGTCAACTTTCAGACTCCAGAGGTAGACCACCGTTCTCACCCATCCTCTATCTCACCCTGGCCACTGGAGCATTCTAAACCTATGATTGTGTTTTGTCACTTCCACTCTGGGCTGAGACAGTGAAAACAGAAGTGACAGTGAACTTGATGCAGACCGTTAGTGATCAAATCCTCACGCTCTGGACTCCTATGAATTGTTAACCTTGAAATCGAGGGGAGTGGGTTGGGAAGGGCCTCACTGAACACTGAATATTAATAGGCGGGTAGCAGATTAGTCCCCAGGGTTTAGAGTCACCTTCTTAAATACCTGATGTCAATTTCGGGGTTTATTCCCCTTTAAGGTATGTCTCGGGTTTGCTGAGAATGTTCAGTTATATCTCTAAGCCCAAGCTAGCAAATTAACTAAGTCTCCTTAGTTTAAAACATGAAATCAGTTTTATGCCAACCAGATTCCATGATCAAACAGGTCAACTAGGAACAAATAAAGAATAAAATAGATGCAAGGCACTAAGTGGCATTGTTATAATTTTTCACGCGATGTTCTCATTAGCTCTTCTGATCCGAAGGTATGTGTTTAGATATCAAGTTAGTTATCTGGTCTTTGTGTTTTCAGGTACGTCTTAAATGTTGTTATGATTCAGTGATCCAGGACTTTTGCTTTTAAATGCCAGTAACTAATGCATGTAGAGTAATGGTGCCTCTCAGGCCATCAAATCCCGAAACTGTGAAAGCTTAAACTTGACCCGGACACACCTTCTTGGGTTTTATTTTCATTTTATTCCTATTTTCACTGTTTATTTAATTTTCTCTCTCTCTTCTTTAAAACTCTATTTGTATTTCTATATGGAAACTCTCATATGCAAAACTCAAATGGTCATATTTTCCTTCCTCAGGCTGTTCCTAGGAAAACTCACTTGTTTTTTGTTTTTTTGTTTTTTTTTTTTGCGGTACGCGGGCCTCTCACTGTCGTGGCCTCTCCCGTTGCGGAGCACAGGCTCCGGACGCGCAGGCCCAGCGGCCATGGCTCACGGGCCCAGCCGCTTTGCGGCATGTGGGATCTTCCCGGATCGGGGCACGAACCCGTGTCCCCTGCATCGGCAGGCGGACTCTCAACCACTGCGCCACCAGGGAAGCCCTCTCACTTGTTTTTTTCACATGGAAAATTCATGTCATTAGATCCCTGTATGCGTTCACAGCCCCCCAAATGAGATTTTTCAGCTAAAAGTCACTAAGTCTAATCAACAGAAGTTCTTGAATTCTCTTCTCCTTATAATCACGCATGAAAAAAAAAAAAATGACAGAGCTGCTGGAATAGAAAACGGCAAAGAAAGTAGCTTAAACGTGGATCGGGTTTCTATTCTAGAACCAGCGGATGGATGAGTCACTTAGAGGATTTGGGAGCGTGGTGCTTAGTCTGTTGGGACCGCTAGGGTGCCAGACCATGAAATCAACACGTTTCGTTTTGTAGATAAAAATACCATTCTCCAGGAAATGGTAATATCGGAAAGACACGTAAATGGTTGCATTTGTAAGGGATGAGTTCCAGCCTTGACTTCTGCGAATCCCAGATGTGAGAGGAAAAGTAAAGAGAAGAAAAATAAACTTGGGGTTAAAATGAGGAAATGAAATCCACTAAAAAAATTAGGTAGGTACCTGCCTCACCTCCAAACCTCTAGAGGCCAGTACGTTTTAGTTCTTTTTTAAAATCTAAGAATGAACACGGTACATTTCCCTAAAGTTGGCCAAGGCCCTGGGAGAAGCTGAAATGGAATTACTTAGAGTTGATGCATCCATGAGGTCGGGTCTGAGACCTTGGTTGTTTGATCAGGATTTTTGCACTTCATTTCCTGAAAACAATATTGGTGTATGTGAAAAGTGCATGTAAGCTCTCAAACCCAAATGTTGTCTCTGCATTTAATTTAAAAAATAATTTTTTTTTAAATCCTAGAATAAGACAAAGAATAAGACAAAGTTCTTTGTTTGATCCTATTCTAATATAGGTTTCTAAATTCCCATGACATTTGATCTCCTGCCCAGGAAGAAGAAGGGGAAAGAGGCAAGAGAATATGGGATTAACTCCATCTCCCTCTAGGGTCTGGTAGGTTGCGGGGGGATCTCAAAATCATTTAGTGAACTGGGCAGCAGCGCTTTAAAAAATTGAAATGAAATAGAATAGAAAATATCAGAGCGCCTGTGTGCCATAAATCTAAATGATTCTTTGAAACTGTACCGTGTCTGTGTGTCTGTGTGTCTAAACACGTGTTTCACGTGTACAGGGTTGCAGTATAGTGTGTACCTCTTACTGTAAGTCATAGTCAGCACGTTGTGAAGATCAGTGTTGTAAATTATGGATTATTGTCTCCCGAGCTTGGCTTTCCTAGGCATCCTGGGGTACGTAGAGGGCCACCTGTCTCCAGCTTTACCTCACCAGAAGGCCAGCGGGTCTTGCGAACCTGCTGTTCTGAGTAGCTAACACGTGTCAAATCGAAGTCAAGCAACAAAGCAGGTTTCCAACATCTACACTTGTCACAAAGCAAAAAGAAAGAATTAGATGCAGCCTTTTTACCGAGGCATCACGTCGGTTCTTAAAATAGGGCTTTCTTTGGGTGCCGTCTCTGGATGCCGTCTTTGTGTTTGTTTTCTTTTTGTATTTACTTTTTTTCAATGTGGTAATACAGGTTCTTTGATTTCCCCCTCTTTTTGGTACTTCCATGGTTCTCCTTCCGCCTTCCTTTTTTTCACTCCCTTTGTATAGTTGAATGGATATTCCACGTATTTACATGATGATGTAAGGGATGCTGTATCCTTCTCACTGTACCACACCTGGAGACACATAACATCACCTTCCATTACTGGTGATTTTTTTAAAAATATATCAACTCTGTGTGTGTGTGTGTGTGTGTGTGTGTGTGTGTGTGTAAATAAAGCCATGTGTGCTGGGTTAAGGTTTCTTCCCTTAGTTAAGTGGGTGTCTTTCTCGGTTTCCCCATGTCCAGGTGTTATATTTCCTTTGTAATCAGTAAGTTATTTTTGAGAAGGCACTTGTAATTTCTGTCCTCATCAGACTCCCCCTTACCAGTTTTAACATTCATTGATGGTTCTTGCCTAACTGTGTAGGTTCGGGCTGTTTTTCACACCTGACCTCCCTTTCCTTAATGGTATTCTTCAATTTGTATCATTTTTTAAAATGTATTTATTTTTTATTATTTTTATTTTATTTCTTTATGGCCGCACCACTCAGCACACAGGATCCTAGTTCCCTGACCAGGGGTTGAACCTGTGCCCCCTGCAGTGGAAGCGTGGAGTCCTAACCCCTGGACTGCCAGGGAAGCCCCCTACATCATTTACTAAAGAGAAGAGTTTGTCTCCTGACCCCAGATTCAAATGCCTGACCTCAGATTCTTCTGATCTCAAATTCAAATTCTGGACATAGCCTCTAGCTTAAACTTTTGGTCAGAGAAGTATTCACGAGGGTCTGTATTTCTAAGGTTAGTTTCAATACTGAAAATACAGGAAAAATATATAACAAAAAAACCTCAACATATCTCAGTGAAATTGTCAACAGTCAATTCAGAGACTGTAATAATGGTTTAAGGTTTTTCTAAGAGGACATCTGAATCTTAACATTTCAGTAAAGACTTTCTCCAGTGCTGGTTATGTATTATTATTATTATTAGCTTTTGTGATTGTGTCAGAGTGCTGTCAATATATCTTATTACATTCGTTCTAATTATATTACTACTTAAGACTTAAAACACAGAGGGAATGAAATTATTTGCATTAAGAATGGGATGGGGCTTTCCTGGTGGCACAGTGGTTGAGAGTCCGCCTGCCGATGCAGGGGACACGGGTTCGTGCCCCGGTCCGGGAAGATCCCACATGCCGCGGAGCGGCTGGGCCCGTGAGCGATGGCCGCTGAGCCTGAGCGTCCGGAGCCTGTGCTCCGCAACGGGAGAGGCAAAAAAAGGGAGAGGCCCGTGAACCAAAAAAAAAAAAAAAAAAAAAAAAAAGAATGTGATGAATGAAATGAATGCATGAAAACCTTCTCCTTGCATGATTTTATGTCCAATTACATATGTTTGGAAATGGTGAAGCTTTAGGCTAGCTTGGATTAATATTAATAATTTCTTTTTCTTTAATGAAATTTCATAAAGAAGGCAGGGTGGCTTCTTTTCTTTTCTTTTTGTGGGGATCCATGCCATGTGGCTTGTGGGATCACAGTTCCCGACCAGGGATTGAACCCAGGCCGTGGCAGTGAGAGCTGAATCTTAACCACTAGACCACCGGGGAACGTTCCCAGTATTTCTGTTGATGCATGACCTAATGGCTGCCGAACAAACCTCCTCAACAAATGGTGACTTAAAACAACCGCCATGGATTTTCTCATGATTTTGCGGATTGGCGGTTTGGACTTGGGTCATCCCTGCTTCCACTGTGTGTGTGGGCTCACTTGTAAGTTGGGCTGAGGCCTGACGGGTCCTGCATGGGTGGTTGGGTCTCTCCTAAGGAGGCAGCCAGGCCTGACTGTAAGGCAGCAGCATCCCAGTGGGTGGGGACGCTGCACACCAGGCTCCCCACGGCCAAGACTTAGAAGTCACTCCCGCTCTGTTATTGATACCAGTCACCAGGTCAGCCCAGCGTCTAGGGGTGGGGAAATGGGTTCCACCTCTTGCTGGGAGGGACCACAAAGAGTGTGGTCACCTGCAACTCGCCTTACACGACAACTTTCAATGTAGCAAACCTAAACCTCTTATTTCATATATCTGTGGGCACGTATACATTACGCGTGTGTCCCTATATATAGACATACACGAACTCAAGAGGACATTCCTATATAAACCGTCTTTCTAGTTTCATAAAGAAAAGATTCTTCCTAACTGGAATTGCATGGAAATATTTTCTAGGACCTGTGGCTGACATTTCAGTAATAACTGAGTCAGTTCTTATCGCCTCATCCTTCTGCACTGCAGCAAAAGTACCCTTACTTTATTTATTAGGCCAAGTTCAGCTCAGGTTGATTCACCAGGAGGAACGGTTAGTTCATGCAGTGAAATGAAGATAAAATTTAGGCGTGGGAGCAGCTGCCTGAGAGGTCAGAGCCCAGCAGCCTCTGAGCTGTGTCTGCGGGGACATTGTCACCGGGTCATCGATTCAAGTCCTCTTCGTTGAAAATACCCTGAACTCTTCTGTTGCAGAGATTAACCAGAGTGCTGACAATCTACACGTGTTTCTCCTTATCTGTGGACTCCGACAAGTGAAAGACCCTCTCTATTTGGTGGATGCATTCTCGGGTATGTGTTCTCAGGAGACCCTTTGCCTGTGGAATTCCACTGGGGTCCCTGTCTTCACATGTCTCTCCTTAGGACTTTGAGTTTTCTCATTTTTTTTCCCATCAGCAGAACTGTTTCTAGATTGTTACTTTGGAAACAACCAGAAAAATAACCTCGCTGTGTAGTCATTTCAGTTGTTTCCTACTTTCCTTGCCCTCAGCTTCTGAGGAAATCATAAAACATAGCCAATAATGATGAGTCTAAAATAATTTTATCTGGCAATATTTTACACATGCCAATTTTTATGATACATTTGGAGTTTTGTTGCATTGCTTAAGTTAACCTATAGACTCTAAAGTATATTCTAAAATCCATATTGAATTGTGATGGCGTATCCATCCTAATTACCTAATAAACTAGATCTCTGAATAATGTGCAACGTGCTAGAAAAAAATATTTTCCTTAAAACCATAAAATGTCACATACTTACATATAAAATAATTATAAGTTGACTAATATGAATGAAAGCAAAATGATATGAAATAATTTATATTGTAGTGTAATTAATATTAAACTGATTTATGTTTTCAGCTGTGACTTAAAACCATTTTAAAAGTCTTTTTTTTTCTTTTTTTCTCCCCAAGAATGGCATCAAGAGGAGCCCAGCGTTTATATGGTTATCGTTGGCCCTGAAGTAAGTTGATCTGCCGTAAGCATTGATCTCGTCTCTGTTTTCCTCTTTATTCTTCTTATGTATTTTCTAAAATTAGTTTCTGTTACTTTTCTAACCCAAAGTTTCTTGCTTTCTTAAGTAAATAAAGTCTGTTTGCCTTTTTAACAATGAACAGCAGACCAAGGTTAAAGATTATGAGGCTTTATAAGTCTTCACAATTAACTTATTGCTACAAAGGGTAAGAAATTCTTACGGGAATACAGAGGAGTCATATGAAGAAAGTCCATGTAAGTCGGTGTATAAGGCAAACGTTCCATGTGGTCCAGATCGTCTTTGAAACTTCCTGGAAGTGCTCACCTGACAAACACAGAGCTGTTCCTTCACCCGAGCACCGGATTAAGCCATTGACTTGCATTCAGGAGCCGAGTGGGGTGGAAAAGCACAAGAAATACAGTCTGCACTGGGGCATGTCCTTGCCTGTCAGTGGCTGTTGTCCAGGGAACAGAGACCAGTGGCAGGGCTTGGAGGTGCTGCCTCTCTCTCCCCGGGACTCGGGATATCCCCTCTCCCCTCTAGCAGATCCGGAGCAAGCATGTGCTCTGTTCCAGAGTCAATTCTAAGCGCTCAGGACGCAGAGAATCTGGGTGGTGACACACTGGTCATCTCACAAAAGTGAACGCTGATTTGCTCCAAGCAGTTTGGAAAATAAAGTACGCCTCCCGCCAGGTGGGATGTAACACTGCAGTAGCAAGGCCTTTTCTTCTCTTCGTGGGGCTTCTGTGCCAGGGCTGCACAATGCATCCCCTGCGCCCTAGGACGACTCACGCTTCCTTTCCCTTTTGCCCAGCCGGATGGCCAAGTCTGTGCACGTTAAATGCCTGCATGACCTCCCTGTTCTGTTCTGTATTTCCTCCTCTCGTGGTTTCCTAGTTCCCTAGGGACCCACCGAGCATGCAGGGGATGGCAAGCTTTTCTTTAGAATACTAGAGACCTTTGGAAATACTACATTTACCTCGAAAAAGGCCCCCTAGCCTAAAAACATATCAAGGGCTAGAATCTGTGTAGCCACATTGGTTGTCACGTGGAAGATGAATCACCCCATCATCCATGTTCTTTGTTGGTATAACAGACACTCACACACACAGGCACGCACATACCCAGGCCTGCACGCACATACCCAGGCCTGCACGCACATACCCACATCCATCACACACTCAGGGCCAGCCTTTTGATGGTTAACAAGATAATCCCTAGTGCACTAATGAATGCATGTTGAATAATGAATGTTAGGTCCCATAGCGGCAAAGTTGTTACTATTATTATTATTTTAATTATCTTTCCATCCTGCTGTTCGAAGAGCATGATTGACTGAAAAAGTTTCAGTTTGATGCTAAATTCCTTGCTAACCAAGAGAGAAGGCCTGAGGTTAGAGCCATGGCAACAACAGTTATCCTGAAAGAATTTAGTAATGTGGCTTTCTTTTCCATTGTTTTTACTTTTATGGTTTTGTTCTGCTTATGGTGTGTGACAATGGCTCTCCAACGCTTGAAAATTTCCTTTAAAAATGAACTGATGTCACAAAAAGTAGTAAATAAGCAATAGTACAGCTGGGGCACAGATGTGACAAATTGTGACAGTACGCAAATAGCCAAAGTCTGGGAAACAGTTTTTATCCAGAATCGATCAGTGTGCCCAGTGGAAGAAATACCAAAAGAGCAACGCTTGGTGGAGAAAAACGTTCGCGAACATCGGGCTAATGTTGATCTGATTTCTCTGTTTGACTTTTTCTGTCGTGTTTCCTTTTAAGGAAACCTAGAGGGAGGTGGCAAACTTCGAAGCACTAGTTTAGCACTAAATATGTACCAGAAACCCATTTCCAGCGACATAGAGACCAAGGCAGCATTTGAGCTGATACGGAGGTCAGAGAAGGGGGAGTGACCAGGACACGTGGTGCTTTCCTGTGTTTATTAAGCGTCTTCATCTTCAACTCAGTTGCCTACAGGTGAAGGATGCCATTTGTTTCATACAGGCTTCCTAAGTCATAGTCCTTTAGAAGAAACACTGTTGTATTGTTTTTTACATTAAACAATTAGGAAGGCTTTTCCCTTCTCAGGACAAAGGTATTTATTCTGCCACTTGTTTTGGGAACATACAACTTTCCCTCTAACTTTAGTTTGCCTAATTTTAAAAGAGCAGTGAGTGTAAAAAATGTGTCTCTTTCCTCCTAATTTCACTGCAGGGAAACTTGTCCCTCAGGCTGCAGGTTGGGAGGCGGTAGGGGAGGGTGGAGACTGTGGCCAACCGTGGAATGAATGGTGGGCGGGGCACGATTCAGCCACAGCACGGTTTGCATTCCAAGATGCAGGCTCCCTTGTCAGCCTTGCAAGAGAAGCCACGATCCAGAGGCCTTTTTCTTCCTCTCTTTTGAAAAAATGCCCGTGTGTGTGAAATGTCTTATTTTTAACTACTGGGAACTAATTAGACAAATGTACTTATGCTTGTTCATGCGTGTGCACACACACACACACACACACACACTGTCTCTCTCTCTCTCTCTCTCTCTCTGTTTGCCTTGTTGGCCCTACAAAATGCATCTCTGTATTTTCTCTTTTGTAACTTCCAGAGGGAGGCAATCCTAAGTGGTTTTGAGCAAAGGCTGTCACGACTTTGCCTATTAAGGATCAGGGAGCAGAGGGTGACGTGAGCTGGGCGGGGCAAAGCAGATTTGCAGGGACCGTGGAAAGACATGTCTTGGGAAGCTTAAGTGCTTCCGCAATTCCAGGGGCCCCTCCTCTCTTTTTCCAAACTAGTCTATTAAATCTCTGATATACCTGAGGACAGGATGCTCACTGGGCAAATGCGGGCCTGGGTCTAGTCTTGTAGAATGGCCCCCCCAAGGCCCCCGTGCGCCCGTTCTGAGGCTGCATCTTCAGCCACCGAGCTGGTTTGCTTGGGTGGAGTGGGAACACAGAGCAACAGGGAATGAGCGAGAGGAAGAGGAGCCATGACAGGGAGCTGTTGAGTGAAGGGTGGTGAAGAGTTATGATCTGAGAGCTGCTAGCCCTTAAGTTCATTGCCATGAATTAGTAACAGTTCACAAGCACTTCTTCCACAAGGCACTCCACTCTCTATAATTAAAAGCCCTCAAGGAAACGGGGAAAGGCATCCTTGGGTTGCAAACTTGCTGCTTAGCAAAACCAGCCGTAAGCACCTGGCACTGTGCAGGCAGGCACGCTCAGCCCAGAGCTTTACTGAGATTTGCCCAGTAAAGCGCGCACACACACACACACACCAGAAACAAGCTTTATTAAACAATACTCTTATTCATGTATTTCACACACTCTGTTATTTTAAAAAACCTGTTCTATGTCTCTGCTTTGCTATTCCATGTCATTAAAAGAAAGGTTATTTTTATTCCAAAATTGATTTCATGATGTGCTCCCTGATCTGAAGTTTGGACAACACTGACTTGGGCCATGCTTGATGGTATGTGTGTGTGTGTGTGTGTGTGTTTCTCTCCATCCACTACACATATTCCCTCTTGAAAGCCAGTGCATTGGCTGCTTCCTCAGTGAAAGATTCCCTCCCCAAATCTTGGGCTGGCTCAGATGTGCTTCTCCTGACCCAAGCTCTTCCCCACTATCATTATAAGATTTCCAAGCATCTATCAGTTTTCAGCGTCAAGAATTCAATTTAACATCACTTTTTCTATTTTTTTTTAATGAAAGCTTCTTTATTTTTTTTGCTGTGTTGGGTCTTCGTTTCTGTGCGAGGGCTTTCTCTAGTTGCGGCGAGCGGGGGCCACTCTTCATCGCGGTGCACGGGCCTCTCTCTCGTTGCGGGGCACAGGCTCCAGACGCGCAGGCTCAGTAGTTGTGGCGCACAGGCCTAGTTGCCCCGCGGCATGTGGGATCTTCCCAGACCAGGGCTCGAACCCGTGTCGCCTGCATTGGCAGGTGGACTCTCAACCACTGCGCCACCAGGGAAGTCCCCAACATCACTTTTGAATTCAGATGTAGGAGGAGACTAAAAGGATTTTACATTTGACATTGAATATTTGCTACAATGTTATGGGTTAATATGCTGATCTTTTGGAAATAGATTTGAGAAGTGGGTCAGAGGACAAATCTTGTGACACATTAAGATTCATCTTGTAACCATTATCTCTTAGAGCAGATCAAACACCCTGAGTGTTACAATTATTTTTGACATCTACTGTGAGTACACTCTTCTTCCATTCATCTTTTTCTTTGTTAACTGCTAAGCTCAGTGATTGAATAAACTCTTTAAGTCTAAATTACACACTTTTGGAGGACTGTAGCCTTTCCAGGTCATGTGCAGGGTCTCTTAGTACAAAATTGCATTGACTCTGTTAGTTAATTGTTATTAACTAACCTATTATTAGGGCCTATTATTAGGGAATAATTGCAGTGCATGCAGCAGTGATTCCCTCTCTCTGTGTCCACGTCTCTGCGTGGAGCCTGGTCAGATCTGAGACCCCAGTGAAGACCTGGCTACGCAGCTCAGCCAGTGCCCCCTTGGATGCCGCATCAGCCCAGCTTCAGCCCGAGGGAGTTTATTAGGAGGTGACAAGGGCTACTAAGAGAATTGCTGCGGAGGCTGAAGACCAGGTTTGGCTGCATCCGTTGCTTAGTCTCTGGATCTTTCCCTTCAAGGTCCACGGTCCAGTGTGGGTTACATCCGCCATTCTGTAAGGAGAGGAACGGGCACCCGATCCCACTTCCACCAGACCACATGCGGTGGGAGGAGGTGAGGAAGACACCCAGACGAAGCGGAAGAGGTGAAATGGATGCCAAATAGATGGATGAGCATGGCATATGCGGATTACCTGTTTGTTTTTATGAGTGCTCAAACAAGAACTGAATACTTTCATAGGTCAGAGCTCTTTTTCAAGACATATTAACAGAGTCAGTGCAGGCTAGAGGTGTGTCTGCCAGGACAGGGGAGCCCAGGGCCTGGACTGCATACCGCATTCACATTTGTTCCTGCCATGTGCAATG